TAGCCTTCTTAGACTGTGAGATTTCCATCAGTAATGGGGGACATCTAAAAGCTGACATTTACCGTAAACCTACACATATGGATCAGTATCTAAGGTTTGACTCTCATCATCCACTGGAGCACAAACTGGGTGTCATCAGGACGCTACAACACAGAGCGAACACCATCCCCACTGACACAGCGGCCAGGGAGGCAGAATAACAGCACATCAAGAAGGCCCTGAGTAAATGTGGTTATCCCAGCTGGACGTTTGTCAAAGCTGGGAAGGCACCTAAAGAAAGCTCCAGCCGATCCAGGAGAGAAGGACAACCGCTGCCCAAGCGAAAACCTGTAGTGATCCCATATGTGTCAGGAGTATTGGAGCAGTTGAGACGCATTTTTTTTTCTAAACACTGGGTCCCTGTGGCTTTTAAACCCCAAAACACGCTGCGCCAAAAATTGGTCCACCCCAAAGATTGGGTCCCCCGACACAAACAGAGTAACATAGTGTACGCCTTTAAGTGCCAGGAGGAGCGCCAGGATTTATACATCGGGGAAACCAAACAACCTCTGGCGAAGCGGATGGCACAACACAGAAGAGCTACCTCGTCAGGCCAGGACTCTGCAGTCTATTTACACCTGCAGTCCAGTGGACACTCTTACAAGGATGAGGATGTACACATCCTGGACAGGGAGGAACGCTGGTTTGAGCACGGAGTCAAGGAGGCCATTTACATGAAAAGGGAAAGACCATCTCTGAATCGAGGAGGGGGCCTAAGGGTACATCTTTCGCCATCTTACAATGCTGTGATTGCAGCCATTCCCCAACTATACTGCTGTGAAAAATGAAAGGAACTCTTTCAAAACAAATCAAAAAGTCGTGCTGGATGCACTGATATGGACTGGATAATGTGCTTGGAATGAAAGTAAGGAAATTAAAATACAACCTACAGGGGACTGAATTCAAAGACATACCTAAAATCAAAGTGCAAAAATGTTGCAGCAGGCTGGCCCATTTTGCACAAATTTCATTGCAGAAACTAAAAATGGTACTCAGTAGTTTATATGACCCCCACATGCTTGTATGCAAGCCCGACAATGTCGACGTGTGCTCCTAATAAGACAATGTCTGGTGTCCTGGGGGATCTTCTCCCAGATCTGGTGCCAGTCCAGATTGCCTGTACTGTAGAGGTTTGAGCATCCCTCCATGAACATGATTCCCCAGACGATCGCTGATTTACCGCCAATCCGGTCATGCCGAATGAGGTTAATGGCAGCATAATTTCTCCAGATCCTTTCACGTGTGCTCAGGGTGAACCTGCTGTCATCTGTGAAAAGCACAGGATGCCAGTGGTGGACCTGCCAATTCTGGTATTCTATGGCAGTGATCATCCTGTTCTGTCAAAGGAGCAGACATCAGTCCTGCTAATGGTTTAAGGACCTTCTACGGTCCTGTCAGCTCTCCTAGGGTAACTGCCTGTCTCCTGGAACTCAATAACACCAAAGCAGCTAAAACTGATGAACAACCTGACCCGATCAATATCCCAGACGTTCAACTAACTTGATGCTGTACTCTGATTAAAAAGTCTTCCCATAATTTTTTAAGCAGTTTATATACAGCCATACATAAAAGTGTTAGTTGTATGACTATTTACACTTTGGTTGGCTTCCTTATAGTTTCATAGTTTCAGTCATGGACTGAAGTTTTGTTGAAACTTTTGATACTCGGCATAACTTCAGAGTCTGAGGATCCAAACATCAACTGATGAAATATTTCACTGTGAAACACTGTTTGAAAAACAAGCTTTGAACAGCAATGAGAAAACCTAAAATTAACTAAAACAAACTTTATATTTTATTAATATAAACTTTGTATTCAGTTTTTTTTTCACATTTTCACACATTTCCCCATTTCTGGCTAGAATTCAGTAATAGTGTACATTTTCATGCCTTATACATTGATATGACTTTCTTACTAATATAATGTTATTACACACACTGCTCAGCTAGATGCAAAAAACCCACAATCAGCACCAAAGTTTACAGGTTTGCAGGTTTACTACAGATTGTCAGACGGCCTTTTGTGTTTACTTACTGAGGACTTGCCTTCTTCAGAGAGGGAAGGTGTGGGAGCCTCTTGCTGATGGACAAGGCATCATAGAAAGATGGGCGTTGTCCAGAGCGTGACAGGGCGTTGGCCAGCAGAGTCGCCAGGAGGATGGGTACAGCATGGGTGAACTGACCAGTCAACTCTATAGCCACGAGAACTGGGGACAAAGTGTGTGTGACAGCGCCAGAGAAGGCCGCTGCACCTAAAGCAGACCAACCATACGATGCACTTTGAATTGTTGCTTTGTTAAATTTAATGCCACATTTCAGCAAATTTACTTAAAAACTTAAAAAGTTGAAAGGCATGATGATGATAGAAATTAACTTATTAGCTAAAACTGGGTTCAAATTGTAGCTCTAGGAAAATGTTTAGCAAAATTTGAAGTAAACTGATTAATGCAGGCAAAATTGTCCCTTTCAAACATTCAGGCAAAAGTCAATGCGAGTGTAAAATATTAGCACCAAACTACAGCTGGTCAGGTTTTTCTACCAGCAAGTGCGTAGCCTCCTGGGTTTACAGAAGCCCACTGCTGGCCTGGAGTCACTCCAGTGGAAGACAAAGAAGCAGCGCCTTCCCCAATCAAACGCCCAATAGCTGCCCCTGGAAAAGAGAAACAAAACGACCAATAAGAAAGGGTTTCTTACTTAGTAGCTTTGCCATGTTAGGAAAAAGACAGCATTTCACTCCTGCAGTGAGGATGCAGTGAGACGGACTTGTTATATTGAAATTTAAAGTTGAAACACTCACCATAGATGAACACTGGCATGAAGTATCCAGCTGGCAGAGGCAGGGTGCAGGCGAGGACCAACATCCACATCTCAGACACAACACACAAAGACACAGAGCATCCAGAGGAGTCACATCAGGCTGTGTTTGCACTGCTCTCATTTATGCACAAATGATTCCATTATGTGCATTTGCGTTTCACATTTAAATGTAGAAATGAGAGAACTGCTCATTGGTTCCTGCTAAAGTGACTATCAGAAGCTGTTCTCAGTGTAGAAATTTTCTTTTAAACTCATTTTCTTTTTTGTGCGTTTCCAAGGTGTTCTGTCTGCTTCAAACACAAATGAGAAGAAGAGATGTGTGGACACATAATGGGACTGATTAAAACCAGTAACTGGGCTATTACTTTAATAGCTGTTAAAGGTCAAAAACCCATTCTTTCCACCCGCAGTGCTGGTATGACTGAGCATCAAGCATCACAAGACATTTCATCCTCAAAGGTTAAACAGCCTTTAGTTTGCCTATTCTATTGTGAAAATGTCAATTACTGTATTCCAATTATGGGTCGCTGTGACCCAGCAGAGAGGAACAAGAGGAGTCGCAGCCGAGTTTGGTGCCTTCTTAGGATTCCTAGACAGATAAAAAGATGATTTCATTGACCTTTGCATTCCTGTACCTTCATGAGCAGAAAGAAAACCAAAGAGAAGTAGACAGAAGTCCCTGATGAGCTCCACTCCAACAAAGGCTGCAGCTGCTCGGAGGTGTTGTGGGATTGTGAGGTCCACTGCCTGCTATCCAGGAAAGAAGTGAGGAGCTCCTTCATGGTGTACTGATTAAAAGATTAGTGATATTAGTATTACTACCTCACATTATGAAACAAAAACAGACTGATGCTAACATTGGTCCTCATTTACAAAGAGTGCGTTTGCACTGGAGCTGGGCGGATCGATCCAGATATCAACAGCAACGCCGGTGTTGGTATCGGATCGATACTTTGTTTCTATCCTTTAAGTTCAACATGTAGGAATTGTGTTAAATTATTTTCTAAGAAATAAAAAATATAACTCAATCAGGCATTATGAAAAATATCTGAACTTTTTCATGTTGACTGTCACGTCGATTTTACTTATAAACTATAGCACATTTAAACAGCAAAAGCTGACCCAAAGCACTTTATAAAAAGGCACATTTGCATTCCGGGTCTTAAAAACCTCAGTTTCAAAATACACGAAAAGCTGAAGTATGAGTTTTATTGTCTTCTCTAATTACAGCCACAGATTTAGTGGCGGTTAAAATCAGAAAATGCAAATTCACGATGATTCATCTCATAACTCATTACACGCTGCTCTTCCCTACAAAAGCTGCCTTTAAGTTAAAAGTATAGATATCAGTGTTTGTATCGGGAATTCTGGCCCTGTATTTGGTATTGGATGGATACCAAAATTTGCACACAAATCTGCATGAAAACTGTGTGTACCAATATTTTTTAACATTATTTTTTTGACCTTTATTAGATAGCACAGTGGACAGCAGGCAGCAAAGGTGGCAGAGAGTGGGGAAAAACAAAGGGCCTCATGTTCGAGCTGAACCAGGGCTGCTGCCTAAACTGGTAGTTTTTCATGGAATAATTAAGCAGTGGCTCATCAATGCACATGACCGTCATTTTCAGATGCACTACCTCTGCTAAGAGCATTTCTATGCTGATATTCATTCTGATGTGATGGTGATATTCAACAACGGCATCAATTAGCGTCTTTGCTAGCTTAATGGGATTATTATGATTTGAAAAAAAAAAAACCAGCAATCAGAGTCAATCAGAGCTTTTTAAATGGAATTAGGAAACAAGAAAGTTTCTTCTTTATGTTAGAACTGGGAAATTATTCAAGAAGCTTTGTGCCAAAAATCTCAGTTATGAGTTACTGAGATAGAATTAGATATTGTGAGCTGACACCCTGACAGAAATAAAAGTGAAATAAGCCTCTGTGGTGAGTGTAATAATGTCTAAGGAAGAGCAAAGTAATGACAAACACAAACAAAGTATTTGAGCTCGTAATGGAGTTAAACAATCTGATCAGGCTCAGATCAAGTGTTGGAGTGAGCGGTGAAATTGTTGCAGACTATAATTGTGGATTAATAGTTACAATTTATAGGAGGATGAGAGCAAGGCAGCATACACGGGAGTGACTCAGAATAAAGTGCATTATAATGAAGGAACATTCAGACGAAAGCAACAGCGTGACTCACTGCAGTGTTTATGTCTTTAAATGCTGCTGATGCCCACCTTAGAAGCCATGTAATGACCAGCAAAATGGGGAAACGTCAGTGATGCCAGGAAGAAGACAACCATGCCTGAGTACAGAGCCTTCCTGCAAAATACAGGCATTTGGTTCATTCCATTAGCTTTTACAATTGTCTGTCCGACTTCTAAATAACCTGAAATATTTTCCTATCTACTCTAGTCCATGCTTTCAGGGCTTTAAAGTGTGTTACTCGACAAATATTTGCTTCTATCTGGAAAAAAAGGCAAATAAGTTGTCAACCAGATTTTACAGCACAATTCAGGTTGCAAAGAGCTCTCACTCTGTCGTCAGCATCTTGGCGAAAACTGGGTTTGTTTTAGTGAAACGCAGGATCCACCTGTGGCAGAAGAGGTAGCAGCAGCTCACAGCCCCACACAGCAGCCTGTTTTCAGACAGTGACACAAACCACAGTGAGAGATGAGAGGCTAATTTTAATCCAGGCAGCAACAGACTATCGGAAGTCATTACACTTGGAGAAGTCATGGGAAGGAGAAGGAGGAGGAGGAAATGGTTGAGATGAGACTAAAAAAAATTGGAATGCTAATTGGTACAGCAGGAAAAACAGCTGGTTTTCATTGTGACTGATATGAATACGAATGCCAGAAGTCAGGGATTATCTGTCAGACAGAGAATAAAAGAGGACCTGTTTGATTATGCAGATACTGTCAAAATAAACCTACCCCAAGAAAGCAAACAGCAGAATTTCCAGCGGGTAGAAAGGTAAAGCATCGGGGAAATTAGTTCTGAACAAGGCCTGGAGAGTCTCTGTGGACATAAAACAAATTGCATCACTTCAATCTTCCCCACAGCCTTTCAAATTTAATAATCCCTCACATTACTGAACTCAAAATGTATTGGATTTTACAGTCTGCCAGCTTAAATGCTTCCAATAACTTTGCCAAAGTTGATGTTTGACACGGCGAGTTATTATATAGCTGTCAACATTACTGACAACAGAAAGAAATAAAATCAGAATTTAAAAAAAGAAAATATTTCATTTATTAAGAATTTACTTCAACATGAGACATCTTCATGATAAATACCATGAGAGAGATGGAGAGTCTGTTTATGTCAGACAGTCTGGCACATGGGTTTCTGAGAGATCCATGTGTCAACATGATCAATAGGCAACTGAAAAAGCTGCAGTGACATACATCTTCTGCCCACTGGTGGATTATTGGTGCACTGCAGGCAGTAAAGGAGCTGCTGTCATGTAGACAAAGCAACAGGCCACACAGTCTCTTCTTTGAATTCAGGTGTTTTCAGCCCAGTTACCACAGGCTCAGAAAAATCAAGCACCTATCCACGCAGTCTGCTTTTACAAACACTGGTAAGAGAACAAGTCGTTCTGCAGAGCTCACTGAATTCCAACGCTCCTCCAAAGTGGATGCTGGATGCTTAAGTGGAAGTGAATGCTGATCAATGTAAAAGGAAAACATGCTAAAAAAGCAGAAAGTAAAGCCAGACAATGCAAATAACCAGGAGCCACTAGGAGTGATTTTACAGAAAACTCTGGGAGTGGATAGACTTTGTGGTCGACCTGGCAAAGGTCAAGGGGTGACTGAGACAATAACTATAAAAGGACATGAGCCTAGAGGGAAACAGGTGGGAAAAGCAGTGGGGACAAATCAGGGATGACAAGGGAAGTAGAACCTTTAGCAAGGCACAGGGGACAAACATCTATGAAAATAAAACAGGAAGTGGCAAGACGAGCAACACCAAACACAGAGATTGAGACGGGCAGGATGAACTGAAACAATAACTTAATATAAACAAAACCAGGAAAACCGAGGGAAAACATAAAGCAACTGTAAACGGTAAGTATTAAAATAACCAAAACTAAGAGATCCTTAACTTAGAAAAACTGGGACAGCAACCCAGGACCATGACATGATCAGCTGTCAATGGTTACTACTGCACAGTGGAAACCAGTGTCACCATGTACTAAAGGCACACAGTGTAAAAAAAAAGAAGTGTCCAACGCTCTGCTGACTCAGTAACTGCAGACTTCCAGATCTTCTCTGACATTAACATCAGCATAAAAACTGTGTGGTTGGAGCTTCATGTCCTGTGTTTCTACAGCTGAGCGCTCATGTAGGTGTAGCGTGTAGGTGGCCCAGTATAATCTAGGACACTTGTGTTTAAAATGTCATTATTTTCCGACGCAGTTGTTGGTGTTAAGTGGTCCAGCTTTTAAAAAGGAAATAGCACAATGTCCTTGTAAGTCTGACTTCAGTAAAATCTCAGCTCTTCAGTCATTATCATCATATTATCTTGGACTTGTTGCTGTGAGGAGCTGTTACTGTGGCCTGATTATTGAACTGTTAGCTGCTGGAAAGCAAGTTTATTACCCTAACCCTTCCCTGCAGGAATTTGGTGTTTGGATCCAGTTTGAATCAACACGCTGTCTGGCTGTCTGGTGGAAGGCTGTGGATAATTAATAGATTTGGACCCTCTGAACCACTTACTCGACGTACTGCTGAACATTTTTCTCTGACATCTGTTTCAGCTCCACTGCCCCAAGCACTGATACAGAAAAACAAGGCGCGCATTCATATTAAGCTTCTCATTTTAGAATATTTCGATTTTGATTGAGTGAACTGTGTTCTTCTTTCTTTTTTTGGCCAATGCAACACAATAATTTTCCATATTTGGAGGGAATTCCTTCTTCTTCTTCTAGGCTTTATTTGGCTTTTTTTTCTGCGACTCTAAAGTAAACTCTCTACTTCTAGACTATTAAAGGAGCGAGTGGTGTTTAGTGCATCCATCACCTCCATCTCCACCCCACACTGCTAAAAGTCGGAAGGTCAATGCCCCACAGGCTGCTGAGAAGAAGCATGGGCAGTAATGCCTCAGGGCGAAGTGAGAACTCATCACCTCCACAGAGAACAACACACCTGCAGGGGAAGAGGAGCAAAGACACAAAGGAATAAGGTGCAGATGACATTTTGCATGCGACGGCAGTAGCCCTTTCTACTTTAAACAGTACAATCTTTGGAAGGCTGTAATAAATAGTGTTGTCTGCATCTATGCCAACAGAAATAGGGGTATATTTCAGGTGTTAACAGACCCCCTGCTGTTTTATGTAAATTGTGACATTTTGAGCTTATCCTTCAAGCACAAACCTTTGGCAATGAACCTCCAGCAAGGATGCAAAAGAGAAATGGAGGTAAGAAGATCAAAATATTAGGCGGAGAGGTGATCAAAGGAGGAAGAGGTGAGGGAGGAACATATACAAACACGATGGGGGACCAAACAGGGCTGAGGGAGGATAAAAGGGAACAGCAACTTTGTGAAGCTTGCAAAAGGGAAATCAAAGGCAGAAAAGAGCATTACCTGAGTAACTGTGCGAAAAACAGATTTGCTGTGAGCAGATACATAAAAAGTTATTGATTGTAAAGCTCAACCTGGCTTTCTCACCGCCAATGGGAGCTCCGAAGCAGCTGGCTACCCCGACCCCGGCAGATACAACCAACATTTGTCCAGCTGCTTTTTCCTACAAGAAACACATGCTGTAGTGTGTGTGCTGTCTCTTTTTTCAGACTTTTATGCTTTAAAGAACATAGCAGGATTTCATTTATTGTTTTCCAGAGAAGCATTTCACACCCCGTCTGAGCCCATCTGAGGTCCCTTGCTATGATTCAAATAACATGGCCTCCAAACAGTGGAAGAATCAAACGCAAAGCTCTTAACATTTAGACATCACTCAGGCCTTAACAAGCATGTAGAGCCTATGTTCTCTTATTGTGTTTCCTGTAAAGATGACTCTGTCTTTACTGGAATTATTTCAGTCCTTCGATGTGATTCATTTTTTCTGATGTGTCAAAAGCTGCAGTTCCTCAAACGGCCACTCGTGGCTGGCTCCAAAAATGAGTCGTCCTCCATAGACCATCATGTTAAAACGCCCAAATTTGAAGTATAAACCAAAAATGTTTGCAACCTGAAACAAGAAGCAATTTTAGTTTTTATCGCTAATTTTCTCATTTAGGACAACTGCATGAGGGTTGAAGCTTGCATGATTTGCTTATGTCAGCTTTGGCTGAGAGGTGGAAGATGACACTGGCCACTTACAGCTAGCGCATTTTGGAAAGGCTTCACCTGAGCACTGATCTGGACCTCTCAAAAACATTTGCGTCCTTTTGAGCATTTTTAATGGAATTATCTGACAAATAATGGGCTGCTGTGCGATTAATATTTCTAGACTGTCCAGGAAGACTGTAGACAAGTTCTAGTATTTTATTTATGCATCACTTACTTTTATTTCACTTAGCACTTATTTCAGCACTTTCATTATCAGGTATCTGTTACAGCAGTTAGGCTTTGATCTTAACCCAAGGATTAAATGTGTTGCAATGAGGTAAGCAGACAGAGATGAAGATGACAAATAGATTCTGAGTCAGAATTATTTGTCCAAACAGATTAGGGGTCCTATTTACAGCAAAATGATGACATCCAGTGTTCACACTCCTTTTGTTTTTTACTAACTTCTAAATCTCTGTCATTTTAGCCACTAAATGGATTTATATAGCACCTTTCCACTCGTGCTGAGCACTCAACTTTCTGTCTCACTCAACTGTGTCATTCACCCGATCAAACATTTATTTAGGCCTAAGCACACATACTGCGTTGGAGACAAGTAAAAGTTCTGTATTTTGTGCAAAGACACTTGGATTGGTGGACTGGAGGGGTCAGGGATTAATCCAATGACCTTGTGATTGGTAGATTACCTACTCTAACACCTGAGCTTCAGCTGTGCCACTAAATCATCTCTGGCTTTGTTTACCTGGTGTTTGGTACCTGATGTGCAATATAAGGGGTTTATCAAAGCTTTTCTCTTTTTTTTTAACTGAAAGGTTTCTGGGCCCAAATATCAAAAAAGTTGAATTAAAATGTGCTTTATTTCTAACATACACAGACTGTTTTAATGTACAGCATCCCTTTTAGTTACTTCTCTGTGCTTTACCTTCTTATCACGTTGTATGAGAGTGCAGAGATTGCTCAGGTAACCTCCCACCATGGTGGAAAGATGCACAAATGGACCCTGATGTTTCGAGGTAAATATACAGAACCGTCACAACAAATCAGAAAACACACCATTAGCAAAATGATTACATTACTGCTGCGCATTCTGAGTAACAAAAAGACATGCTGAGTCATCTTACCACTTTGCCCAGGAAAACAGTGCTGCCAGCAGCCAGTGTACAGATGAGGCCCAAGAACTTGGAAAACAAATTAGTGAGAGACAAATAATGCGGCATTTCAAATCCCGCCAGCATGGTTCTCACCTCTGGTATCCCTGAGCCTGAGAAGATAAACAATTGGGATTACAAGATTGAGTTTGAGGTAGAAAAGCAATCACAAAGGCAAAAAAGACTATTATAGGTGAATACGCAAGAATGATTTTTGAATGATTAAATAGAGGGGAACGTCAAGGCAAGGATTTCTTTGGGACTTAAAAAGACCATCAACACAAAACAGGCAAGCTGAAGATGAACTGTGTTTCAGTATTTGATTGTAAAGGCTATATCTGCACAGGGGGATTTTGGTTGCATAAATCAAACCAATTTCTCCTTTTTTATGGTTCACCTGAGATGTCTCCTTGTTTGCTTTGTTTGCAAGTAAGAGACCAGAGGGACCGCTGGGCTACAGTACAGAGCTGCACTGCGAACGGTGGACAGATAGAACACATAGTCCCTTAGATATGCTTTATCCTACATCCTTCATACTTCATACAAGATTTCTGAGACTGCTAATATCATAGTTGACTTCTTCATATCTCATTTGACTGTTTTTCAATAACCATTCATTTTAGATAGACAGAAAGACGTTTCCAAGAGAAAAAAGTGGGTGATGAAAAATGAATATTCACGTTCATTTGTGCTCATTTATCTTTTTTCTAAGACTATAATGAAGATAAAAAGGTTGAATGTCCTTTCATGTTACGGTGTGGCCGCACAAAATCACCTTGGATAATTATCCTTTCTAATCTTGTGCCGTGTTGTAGCCAAACACTACATAACTTCCACGGTAATGATCACTTGTAAGTGAATGAATGGCAAAAGCTTGCTACTGCAATACTCATTAGCTCACACACATCCACATTTGGTAGAGACTCAGTGTTTGCTTAGCTGTCACATCTAAAAAAAACTGGTGCTTTAAAGCATGGGCTCACAATTTTTCCAAGTCTGTCTTACAACAATAATCAGGTTTGCATGTAAATATATGGAGAGTTTTTCGTGCTGTAGTAGTTCCTGTTGTTCACAATAATAATCACTTTCTATTGACTTTTAACCCTGTAACAAGTGTTTGAGACCTCTATATCATTAGTGTTATTGTTTTGTATATTTATGTTAAAGTTGAATTAAAAGTATAAATAAATAGCATAAATAATATAAATACATTCGAGTCTGAATCTAGAGGCATTATGAGGCGTTGATGATATGAGTTGTAAAGAAAAATCAAGTCTTTTTAGTTATAAACATCATCTTTGGACACAAATAGTTTTGCTTTTTTCTTTCAGTTTTGACATGGACACCTTTGTTTTAGGTAAGCTTGTTGATTAAAAATGTTCTCACAGAACTAAATTGCATACTGAAGAACGTTTCAAGGAAGGGGTGTTTTCTGCTAGAGCTTTGTTTGTAGTGTGTGGTGACTATCCCCCAAGCCACAATCTAACTAAGATAGATTTGAGACCTAAAATAAAAACTAATTCCCTCTTTCTTCACCTGTGGACTTGGACGGTTGCAATGCCATGCTCTCAGAATACAGAGAAAAGCAACACAGCCTGTGAAAAAACACCTGAACTAATCATGTTTCCTGCTTGTTGCTCAACAGACCTGTGGAGAAAGGACAGATGTTGTGGGAGAATGATGATGCAATGGCACAAATGCATGCTGGGTAAAGAGTCCAGCAGAGAAACTGCAGCAAAACATTTCCTTCCAGCATCGTATAAAGCCACTGGTGAGCTGCAAGAGACACGAGAGAGAAGCACTGATTATTTGTGTGCTTTGCTTACTTAGCTTGTGTGTGTGTGTGTGTGTGTGTGTGTGTGTGTGTGTGTGTGTGTGTGT